AAGCCACCCCGGACTACATGGGATTGACTCAGTCTAGGAGAGAAAACAGAGAAAACAAAACTAGGTGGTGGCACAAACCTTTAATCCCAGTGCTTGGGAGTCACATACCTTTAGTCCCAGAAAGCGATGGCTGGGCAGAGAAAGGTATATAAAGTGTGAGGAGACAGGAACTAAAGGCTTTTCAGATGAGGAACCCCTTTCAGTTAGAAAGTCTTTTCAGGCTGAGGAGTTGATGAGGTAAGAGGTGGTGGCTGTGCCTTGTTCCTTTGTCTCTCTGATCTTTCAGCATGTACCCCAATATCAGGCTCTGGTTTTTTTTTTATTATAAGACCATTTAAAATTTGTGTTATACCCTTTGGCACAGTTCCTCATGTTGTGGTGACCCCCCCCATAAAATTATTTCACTGCTACTTCATAACTATAATTTTGCTGTTGTTATGAATCATGTAAATATCTGACATGAGAACCCCCCAAAGGGGTCGCCACCCACAGTTTGAGAACCACTGCTCTAGAACAATGGACTAAGGGTACTTTTATTCTCAGCTGCAGGTGTTTTTGTTATAGCAACAGAAAACAAATTAAGCAACCCAACAGTACCAGGTGGGTTATGATGTATGGCATGTCCTATGTTTTATACAGTTTCTTTGTTATCAGTATTCCAAACCTTGTAAGTCATTTCTTTTTAAATGAGAACCCAGGCTTTAGAAGCAGAGGAATCCACGGGAATGGTCGCCACTCTCCTCTTCTTCCAGGGTGAGGTGGTGGTTGTGAGGCGCCAGCCTGTGAAGCTCCCCAGCAGCAGCAGGGTGCCCTAGAAGTGTGTAGCCTTCAGGGTGGGAGATGGAGCGAGGGACTGCGGTGTGACCTCGGGTAAACTGAGGCCCAGTCAGGCTCATTGCTCTTCTTGCTTGTTTCCTTTTATTTTAAACAAAAAGCAGTAACATTAATCACAAACATCACCTTAGACCATAAACAGACGACAATGTGGCAGATGTTTCCATGGCCCGGCAAACTTTTAGGAGCTCAGTATTCAATAATTGCTAAAAGATTGGAGAGCTGCTTAACAATTTAGTGAAAATAGCTAAATAAAAATAAATCTGGCCTCTACTGTTTCTCTTGCCAAATCAATAAACTGAGGATGCCAATAGTAAGCACGTGTTTGCTAAATACATCCCACTGTAGCAGAATGTTTCCTGGTGGGCGGCAGGGGTCGGGGGTTGGTTTGTATTGTTTACTGCTGTATCCATAGCTCCTAGATTTCTTCCTGACACAAAATAGATACCCAGCATGTAGTTTTGAACAAATGGATCCTAATTTAATCATCAAAATCATTCATTTTAATGTGGTTAGAACTGTTATCATTCTCATTTTGTAAAGAGATTGATAATTGCATTTCCCAAGATCATACAGCTAAAACATGACACAGGTGGGCTTTGAACTCCTCCCCCCTGTGTGCAAATTCCTGAAAATTAGGCTATACAAGATGAATTTAAAAGCTTTCATTAACAACAGAAGAAAACATAATTAAATCACTGAAGCTCTAAAAACTTATCAAGTTGGAACTGAGTTCAAAGAAAAAATGTCAACTGATTTAATGTGTAAAATATTTTAATTTTCATGTGTGCAAGAAATGCTTGCAACCAGGGCTAGGGAGGTAGCTGTTGCCCAGTGGCCGAGCACCGTCTTGGAGTGTGCAAGGCCTGGGTGTGACCTCAGCACCAGAAAATAAAACAGCTCGTAGCCACAAACTGTACTTATAATAAGTAGGTCATGCCATTTTTACTTATAGCCACTGGAAAACATGCATTAAAGGATACTATTGACAAAAGGTGCAATTTCACATACCCTTCTTTCAAAAAGAGGAAACTGTAACTGGTCCACAAACACCTGAAAAGTCTTCACCCACTTGTAAAAGTGAAGTAACACCTGTGGTATGGCTGTCCATTCCACCAGCTAGTTCCTGGTAGCTGCTCCTTATGTGTAAGAGTGTTTTACCTGTGTGTATATGTATGGACCTGTGCATGCAATACTAGCAGAGGCCAAAAGAGGGCATCGGATTCCCTGGAACTGGAGTTAGCCCTTGTGCATACAGACGGGTACTGCGTGGAGGTCCTTTGCAAAAGCAGCAAGCGCTCTTCATCTGCAATCTCCTTTCAATTTCTCGCTGAAAGGATTCATAAAGACGCAGAAAGGCACAATGGCCTTAGCAAAGCACTAAAGACTACGGTTAATAATTAGATTCGGGGAAATTTATTTTCAAAAGGTACCCGTCAATGAAAATGGATAGTTTGAATACACGCCCCTCCCAGCAGGGAGCCGCAGAGGAAGAAGAAAACTGAGTCTCCTACTCTGAAAGTAGCTTATTGCAGAAGGGGTTCATCAACTAAAGTCCTGGGCGGGTGCCCCGAGGATGCGTTTGAAGAAGTAACGTAGTGGATGAGAGAGAAATCTTATAAACCCAGGGAGGGAGGTGCCCTGATTCTGCTGAAATGGCTATGGGAAGGCGGTTTGCACTGGATCCAAATACAAGTGTTAGAAGTGATTCCAGAAAAACCTGATGGATTGAAAAGGCAGAGGTCAGTAACGAGCTAGGGATGGTACCTAAGACACAGCAACCACGTAGGTCTGGAAGAGAAAGCACAATTAAAGTACCAAGTTCTTCCACCTTCCACATTTTGTCTGATTTCCCCCCTCCTTTGAGAAACAGAGAAGTTACCTTTTAAAAAATGGATTAATAGAGAAGTATGTTTTTGAAATCATTAAAAGTAACTGCTGTTAAAATCTAAACCAGGATATGTAATTTTCAAATTAGTGTGGAGGATTCAAGAAAAAATTACACTGTAGCCAGGACACAAAACAATAGAAAAAGGGAAGAGGAGCAAACACTTATAAAATATCAGGAGAAAATGACATATTATGGGGCTGGCTAGATGACCCAGTCGGTAAAGATGCTTGTTGTACAAGCTTGGCGATTTGAGTTTCATCTCGGAACCCACAGAAAGGCAGCCGGAGAGCACTGACTCCACAGAGTGGATCTCTAGACTTCACATGCATGCCACGACACATGTGTGCCCCACATCATCGTCATCATCATCATCATCATCATCATCAAAACATTTTGACAAAAATGTAAAATTGTTGTGTGTCTGTTAGTGTTGCCTTCGGCAAATGGCAGAATCTCACCTTGAAGCAACTTAAACAAAAGAGGCAATTTTGTGATTGATTTAGCAGAGCAGGGAGTTACAGTAGAGGCAGAAACTGGGCTGAGTGGCTCCGTGAGACAAGGTTGCGTGCCTCAGGAGTGCCTAGCCCAGCCCATCTCTGTCAGTCTACACGCTAGATTTATTTGATCCAATTAGCTTCTTTTTGTGTCCACTGCTGGACCCGGACGTCTTGGCTGATGAGCCGGGATCATGGAATGACGAGGAAGCCCTCACAGAGAACCGAGAAGGCAAGGAACAGCAGAAGGGTCGCCATGTCCCACGAGGAGGGGGATGCTTGATGGTTTTCTCGGGAGAGCTGAAGTACGCCACTCAAAGAAGCAAGTGCAAGACCATCGTGTGACCCACATCGCAAAATGAAGCCAGCCATTTTGATAAATAAAATGACCGAAGGTGAAGAAGAAACACCTGGTGTGTGATGTCAATATGCCGAGTGGAATGCAGGAGGAAAAGCGTGGGCTGGATCAAGCGGACGTTGGATGTTGATGACAAGTGTGATCAGCAGTACCACAGCAGTAATGTTCATAAATAACACCGTGGCATGAACAACGATATCAAACTGATTAGAACAAGGAGAGAGGGAGAGGGACACAGGGGAGGAAGCAAGGAGGGAGGGAGGGAGAGAGGGAGAGAGAGGGAGCTAAAAGTTCAAGAACCTGTTGTCTAGATTCCCACCCCGACTCCTCTTTTTGTAGCTGTGTGACAACTTAATATTTCCATGTGTCCATTTCCTACTCCACAAATTGAGTCAGTAATAGCACCTACCTTGAACTCGTAGTATGCATGTGGGGCAGGGGGGTAGTGAATGACATAATTCCCCAAAATAACACGATACAGCATCGGACAGGTGGTAAACAGCCAGTCACCTGTTTTCTAAAGATGTAAATTATGGGAAGAAGGGGAAACATTCCGGCTCCATGGATAGCGTTAACACAGTTTTCAATCTATTAGTGCAGTATGTTTGCCAAACAGCAAAAATGTTCTTAAAATACAGTTTGGAAATTGAGCCTCATAGCAAAAAACAGAGAGAGAGAACCTATGGACAAAGCTAGTTTTCTTACGAGTATCCATGGACACTGGTGAAGCCAGCCATGTGCTAGACCAGAATCCTTGGGAACCAAACCCAAGAAGGAATTATACCAACTAGAGTCCAGAGAGGTCTCTGGCATGAGCCATCCCAGTCACGCCTGAGGAGTTTGCTATGGCTGTTGTGGGTGAGAACACGGGTAGCAGACGAACCAGGTACCTACGCTGGCCCTCCATCCTGGAGGCAGCAGTGACCTAGACAGAGGCAGATGGGGCAGAGGGGTGAGAAGGTCTCAGACAGTGGACTGTGGTGGGTCCCAATGACAGAACTTGATGAATGGAAGTGTCCATTGACGAGCCAGAGCAGTGGTGATGCCTGAGGACTTGGAGAGGAATAAATTTGCCTGCAGGGGGCAGTAGTGAGGGATTTGCCTTTAATCTGTTTCAGAGCATGGAAACATTCATCCCTTTGTACTTTGATCCATTTCTTTTTCTTGAAAAGGACTTTTGAGTTTTTTCTTGTTCCTCGGTGAGTGTCCTAGAACGTGGGTTTAGAACTCTGTGCCGTGCTTAAATGGTGTGGCGAGTAAAGGCGTGGCCTGCAATGGTTTAGTTCTATTGGGGGGACTTGGGGACACCTAGTGACCTTTTGAGGGTAGCTGGGAGTGTCAACGTTCTCATAGGAAGCAGAGACATATGAAATAGTATGCAAGTGCTGTCCCTAGGAACAGTCAAAACCTTCCCTCGTTTCAGGGCCGCGATAGTGTATTCCACACTCAAGCTTCTCCAGGATTCGAAGGTTTTTAAGAAGAGAATGCCTGAAGACTCAGACAGCCCCACCTCTCCAGGAACTTCTGTACGTATGAATTGAGCTCCTTGCAATGCACTTCGCACCAGACACTGCAGTGTAACCAAGGGCACAGTAAGAAACTGACTAGCTATTTGGATGAAGCGAAGTGGTCAAGTTGAAGTAACAGGGAAATCAGGGCCTGTGTTGAAGTCCCATTTATGCTCTTTATTGAGAGAGACCCTCAAATTCTTTTCAAAAGTTTTGTGATCTCATTTGTGAGGTCTTGAGGGTGGATACAGTCATCACCAAGGACCCATTGGGATGTGTAATTGTGGTGAGTCTTGATATGGCCTCACTAGCAGAATGGTTTCCCAAGACCCACTCTTCCTTCCGTTCTTGGGTTTATTACCTGGACGTGGCAGGAAGGACACTCACTCTTTCCTAGTTAGAGTTCGCCACACTTAGCCTTCCCCATATGGAAGGTCTAATGTCTGCTTGACAGCTTGTCACAAGCTTGTCTCTGGGCTGAGTGAGACCACATAATTTAACGTAAAATCACTTAGGAGTCCTCATAAAAATATTTACCATACAGAATCTTGCTTGTGATTTTTAGGCATTTCTAATGAAATCACTCATACCCAGTGAACCAATGGTCTAAAATAGATACCCAGCACTGCATTTACCATTTTTCATTCCTTAAAGGAAGTTTTTTTTGATGATATAGAAACTACTGATAATATAATTAAAAACAAAAAATCCAGCATTGCAAAACTGTTTTACTAATTAAATTTTTTAGTTGACGTGTATGAGTGTTTTGTTTGCATACAAGTGCACTGTGTGTGTGTGCAGGGCCAACAGAGGGCAGATGATGTCATTGGATCCGGCTGAAGTTACAGAGGATTGTGAGCTGCCATGGAGATGCTGGGAACTGAGCCCAGGTCTTCTGCTAGAGCTGAACCTCTGGGCATCTCTAGTCCCATGCAAAGTTATTTTTGAGTAGTGGTATGGAGAGAAAAGACAGGCCAAAAAGCGGTATAATATGTTAATAGAGAGTTGTGGCATTGAGGGTGATCTTACTTGGTTCTTTTGCACGTACCTTATGTTTTCTAGAATGTTCAAGATAACTTCTTAATTTCAAATGTGATACTGTGAAATGCTTTTGGGTGCTTCTTCTAGCATGTGCTTAGCTGTGGGTTAGAATGCTGGCTTTCTCCAATGGGAAGCTAACCTCATCATTTTAACATTGTTTAGACCATAGAAAGTAAAGACGATAGCGAGTTTTTAGACCCGATTTCCCTGAATGCCCGGGAGTATTTCAACATTCACCTTTGGCTGAGGTGCCGCTTGATGCTTGTGACTGCCTTCGTGACACAGATTCACGGTGTTGGAGTCATGAAAGGTACTTTCTTTTTTGTTTGTTTGTTTTTCTGAGACAGGGTTTCTCTGTGTAGTTTTGGTGCCTATCCTGGATCTCGCTCTGTAGACTAGGCTGGCCTCGAACTCAGAGAGATCCACCTGGCTCTGCCTCCCGAGTGCTGGGATTAAAGGTGTGTGCTACCACCACCTGGTGATATGTTTTCAGTATGGTTCTTTTGACATGGGGAACAGGATTTTATTGGGACATGTCTATGATAATGATGCCCACAACCATCTAGCTTGCTCTCTTTACAGAATTTAAAATACAGGTTGTTAAACAAAAATAGTGATTACTCACAGTCCTCTGTACCAGAGCAAGTGGCACATGTGTTATTGATTTAATTAAGAAAGTGCAAAGAGATTGCAAAATGCAATTGCCCAGGTCTCAGGAAAGTGTCTAAGCATTGAGCTGACAAGCCACCAACCCAGGCTTCCAATGCTGACCTGCCTCCTCCTTACCAAGTCTTTCTCCATTCAGTTCCCATGGCTCTGTATTTCCTTTTCCTTTTCCTCTCTGGAAGATGGAGGTAACTTACCTCCTTGCCGGACTCATTGCCAGACTGAAAGTGATAGACATTACAGTCTTACATCCAAACCAAACTAGTGGGAACTCATGAATTTTAGACCAACAGCCGTGGAGCCTCCACGGGACTGGACTAGGCCCTCTGCATAATGAAACAGTTGTGTAGCTTGAGCTGCTTAAGGGGCCCCCTGGCAGTGGGATCAGGATCCATCCTTGGTTCATGAGCTGGCTTTTTGGAGCCCACTACCTATGGTGGGACACCTCACACAGCCTTGAGGCAGGGGGAGGGCTTGGACCTGCCTCAACTGACTGCTGACTCCCCATGGGAGGTCTTGCCTTCATGTAGGAGGGAATGAGGGGGTGGGTTGTGGGGGAAAGGCTGGAGGGGCAGGAGGAGGGAAGAGGGGAATCTGTGATTAGCATGTAAAATGAATAAAAAATTCTTAATAAAAAACAGAATTACAGTCTTAGATAACATCTTGGCATGTATAAACAGTGGTCCCCACAGTGACTGAGAGCTGTCTAATTGTGTACCTATTTGCGTGTCCCTATCTACCTCCCAAATCGAATCATTTCATGTAATAACATTACTTTTATAGCATTGGACTAAAGTACTTTCACCCAAATTATAAGACACCGCCCTCTGTGTTTCATGTTATCCATTCGTTTTCCATTCGAATGTCCTCTTATTCTTTGATCGTTGGGGACGTTATGCACTTCTTGCTTTCTCTTGCATCTTGATGACCACCCTTGTCTGCCTTAGAGAATGACATGACAGACTATCTCAGCCTCATCAATGAAGTGTGCATGGAGGCAAAGAGTGCGGATGACCCAGAGCTCCTGGCCGAGTTCCTGATGCAAGCCGTGATCCTGGGGCTTCAGGAAAAGCACTTAAAGGCAGACATCATAAAAAACCTTCAGGTAAAGGAGACTGTGTGGATGCATAGGTGTGTTTAGGGAAGATCCTAGCTGGATCAAAAGGACGGGATTCTCAACCCTAATGAATGTGCACCTGGCACCATGGCCATAGCTCATCAGTGAACTGGGAAACGAACAGAGTCGCTTTCTCTCAATAGGAAATAATCCATTTGCTGGAAGGCAATGAGTTCCTTTCTCCTCGATCTTGGCTAACCCTGGCGAGAAGCCTCGTTCTAATGGACGACTTAACAAAAGCCGAGAAATTCAAGCAGGCGTCTTCAAAAGAGGGCACATTAACTTTCCTGAATCAAGCTCACAGCATCCTTATCGCACAGGTAGGAATGATTTCGATGGCCGCAGACTTGGCAATGGACTCTTCTGCCTTGTTTCTCCCCCCTCACTGTGACACTCACCCCCCCCCCCTTTCTTTCCTAGATGCTGACTTTTGGAGAGACAATGGAATTCCCTCTCTCAGGTGCTGACTATGCAAATCCACTACAGCCTTTGAAAAATATCTACCTTCCTCATGTCATGTTACTGGCCAAAATAAAACTGAGAATTGGTAAGAACATTTAAGCATCTACCTTCCTAGAGTAGCATAGGGATTTTTAATTGTTTTTCAAGTAGGCTCTCATAACTTGAAGGGTCAGTATTAGGAATGCCCAGGCTCTGCATGCTTAAATAGGTTTTGGTCAATTACCATGTGCTAGAATCTGTGGTATAAAAATGATCTTCATGTATGAATCAAGTTATGAGGTTGATTACAGTAGTTACAATATGTGAAACTATTTGCTTTGGACTATTGCATTTTCTTCAGCTATTCAGTCTTTGTAACAAGATTATTTTCACAGTCTGCTTTATTGAAAAAAAAATCATAGAAACGCAAAGTATGAGTGCATTCCTAAATGATATACCACTTTTTTTGTTCTCTAAATTACAACCAATTATTTTATAGTTATGTCAAATTAAGAAAGATTTTTGAGAGGAGTACAGAACAGTGTATTATATCTTCTGGTTATCACTGATGCTGTTAAGTACCCATGTGTCTAAAAACAATACCCATGAAAAAACATTATCTTAATGTGTTGATGAAAATGGCATGCTTTTTCCTGAAGCTCTAATAACTTATATCATTTTAAGAAATAAATCTTCATCCTTTAAATGGGGGAATTGTTAAAGTCTTTGTACTTTTATGAATCAAGGTGTCTTGAAGACGTAGTTTCCATGTCTTACCATGATGCATGTTAGGCAATGTCTCTGCTAAGGACAGTTTGAACGCTGGATGCCGTGGTTGTTTCAGGCAGTATAAAGAAAGGTGTACAGGTCTACTGCTCTCTGGAGGCTAGCCCTTTTGGGAAACCTCTCTAATCTGCCTGGCTACTAATCCAGTTGTCCTGTCCTGACCTCTGTGCCAGGGGAACAACCTCTCCTTCCCCCAAATCCCAGCCTCTTGGCTTTGCTCT